AACTGCATATAATAGCTTATTAGTAGTTGTAAGAATTATATTATATCTGTTACTTTTAGATAGACTAATAATAAAATCCAATATAATTATATAGAAGAATCGGAATAGACTCTTAATTAATTATAATTAATTATATAATTTATAAGTATTATGAATACTTTGACCATATACGGGATATTATAGGATATAGCAGTATAAGTTTTTTTTATAAATAGTATAAAGAAATCACGCACTAGCATCGTGTATGATTTATTTAATCCCAGATGCCCATATCCTTCATAAAAAATCTCAAAGACTGTTTTATTAAGCGCACGGGGAACATACAGTCTTAGTAAATCACATTAGTTATTATAGAGAATATTATTGTACATCTCAAAAGAGTAATACTTTTTATCAGCTGCATTAGCTACGCGATGATAAATCCGCCGAAAGATCTGGTTGGCTGGGATTAAGTTGTGTAAACGCTTTTAAAAGTCCTTATCAAAAGCCAGATGCTTTATTATTATATATAGATTAACGCCGCGTAGCAGTTCTTGGAAGGCACGGATGACGTCTGGTAGAATAGGATCTGAGTTACAGATACTGGTTGGGAAATGAGACAGCGTGTCCGCGTTAGAGTATAGTAACTCTTTCCTATATAGAATAATCATCTGATCTAAATCACATTTCACCAACCTGAAGCCACAGCACAAAAAGGCCGAATCGTAGCCTCAACGGTGCTTAACTACTAATGTAGGTAACGTTTTAATTACTTCTAACTTAATATAGCAGATTAGCTATATTAATTCCAAGATTGACTGCGAAGCATACAACTAATACTACTAGGCACTCAGTAGGCCATGTGTAAAGGTCACCCCTTTGATGATATAATTAATTTAGACCCAATATGGATGAGACTTGTGATCACTGGGTTTGGATAATTTACTCTATTGAGACTGTTATTATATGTTGAGACATTCACTGCAGCCAGGCAGCTGTCAGCTGATCCTTCGCCTTTCTTCCTGCGTGGTCTCTGACCACCACCTCTTCGAACCAACCACTCTCTTGAGATCAGATAGATCAAATCCATATATTCTTGACCCTTCGTCTTGACATTATACCTCGCTTTTATTTATTTATATACAATCACGTCTTAAATCCGCCACCTTTCTCTGTTGGAGCAACCAAGATTTCGGACTGGTTTAATCTTTATACTCTCAAGAATATCGCTTGCAAGAACTATAATACAAGCTGATCGTACATCTGGAGCCCTCATCTCTTCCGGAGGGCGTGGTAGTCGTGGTGGTGGCCGTGGCCGTGGCGGATATTATAGTCAGGAGAAAAGAAGAGTATATGTTTAGATCCATCAGTTGCTAATGATAAGCTATGCCACATATTAATCAATATATTAAAAAGTATTATAATAAATATAAATTTTATAGTATCCGGGGCCACGACCGCCCAGAGTATCGTTTATACTTGGGGGTGCTGGAGCTGGTATAATTCATCTGAACTTCTTATTATATATATATGAAGTGTTGCATACTCACTTCTTATAGAAGATTTGAGAGCGCAGGTTAGCTATATAGAAAAGCATATAATGCGTGGAATTGACTTATACGATCAGGTAATATGACAAGGGAGACACCAGAATCACCTCCATAACGTAAGTTCTCTCTATCTTGATATATTGGGTGGCATTATACTAATTATTATTATCATCAGCAGCAGTAGAACCAGCACCACCATCACCAGCCACAGCAACAGCAGCAGCAGCAGAACCAGCACCACCATCACCAGCCACAGCAACAGCAGCAGCAGCAGCAGCAACAACAACAGGGGGAGCAACGGCAACAGCAACCACAGTAGCAGAGACAGCACCAGCGTCCATCTGTTAAACCATGCACTACGTGGTTTATTAGCTGTTTAGAATATATTAATTAATACGAAGTGGTTTATTATAATAATAAATATAATACTATCAGTATATTAGAATAGCTTTATTAACACCCAAATCAGCGCGGTGCATTTGAGCTCTATTACCATGTAGTTTTATTCTACTAAAAATAATATCTTAGACAGATATATAATTAGATATTTAATATTATCTCTACTAATTTAGTATATAATAATACTGAATCCCCATTTCTTGCTCCCATCGACATAGAACTTAAACAGTTTCAAAAAATCAGGATATATAAGTATTAGAGCAGAAATCGGACAGGCACGGATAGTATTCCATGCTTCCATACTTTGGACTACTAGCTGACGCAACTCGTTATTATTCTATAGCGATGTCACGAGTGTACGGTTGACAAAACGTTTTCGTGGTTAATCTTTCTTCAGTCCCGCCCGCAGCCGCAAGGCTTTAAGCTTGTGTAACAGCTCGGCCATCAACGCGAAGTATTCGACGAAGCGTCAATAGTAGTTGAAAAACGCGACACCAGTTTCCAGACCACCCACAGTAGTCGGAAAACGTATCCGGCGTACAGCAGCGACTTTGTCATCTGTAGTAGCAATACCAAGTCGCAATACGTGGTGGCCGAGCAGCTTAACAGACGGATAGGCGAAATGACACTTAGACAAGAACAACATTATCCCGCTTGCTTGGAGCATCTCGAGTACAGTATCTAGGTGTCTCAGGTGTTCGTCTATGTCCCGACTGTAGATTATAATGTCGTCGATATAAACAAGCACAAAATCCCATAAGTAACGGCTTAAAATGGATTCCATTTTTGCTTGGAAGAACCCTGGGGAAGACGCAAGCCCCATTGATGCAACTGTCAGTTACTCATGACCACGGTGTGGAGTGGTGAAAGCAGTCTTCCAACAATTCTCGCGTCTGACTGGTTGCTGAAAGTACCTCTTCGTAATATCTAACGAAGTAAACACTATGGAGCCGCCAAGTGCGCTGAGGACGTCGTCTTGTCGTGGCAACGGATATGCATTATTATACGAGTGTTGACACGTCGCAGGTCTATGATAACACGGGGTTTGTTATATTGCCATACAACAAAGACAGGAGATGATAGTCGATCAAGCGGAACCTTTTCGACCTGTCCTGTCTTATGCAATGGATCAAGGATACCGTCCATCGCTGCGTGATCACGGTACGTCAGCGAATAAGGGTTTTGCTTCAGACCTTTGACATCACGTTCATCATGGAATGGTATCCCCATCTCTTCCCCCTTGAAATGTCCCAGCTCCGGACGGAAGAATAGCGAATACTTATCTAATACTACGCGTACTCGGCAGGCATATTCCTCACCCCACGCGTTTGACACATCGGCGTCCGTTAATAGAATAGGACCGAACTCAGGAATTACTATAGAAATTTTTATACTATCTAGATCCACGTCGTCGTCGCCTTTATTTTTTTTGGTAGATATATTCGCGTTTTCCGCCACCTGCGCGACGCACACGACGGCGGACGTAGCGGTGATAGTATCTGGATTAGATATATATATAATTAGTTATCTCTGTTGCAGTCTGATCGGGCATTCGCCCAGGTTTGCATAGGATAACTATTAGTTATCACTTGTAATGAGGACGCCGGGAAGGCTGTTAAGATAGTTAGTTTTTAATATAATAATTAGTATAAGTTCAAGCTATAGTAAGATTTCGTCTGGTATATAGTTAAAAAATGTTACTAGTACTAAATACTCCATGCCCAGTTGAATTACTACACTTCATCCAGTGTATACGCCACGCTTCTTTTTAGATGCTGGACACGTTCCTCGTGATTCAAATGGGACGGAAAACGCGCCACGAAAACGGACACGCGACTTAGAGAAGTCAATAATACTGTTCGCATTGCAAGCACTAGTTTTCCGTCTCGGAGGAGTCAGAGTCCGAGCTGGGCTCCGACAGACTCTCCAAGTCGGCGTCAGACTCGTCATCGTCCAACTTAACTCTTTGTTTCATTAGGTGTACACGGCGATCGCGTTGGTTGTATTTATTATATTCTTAGTCAAAGTAATCGCCGCCGCAGTATCAGCAAGACTGTGAGAATTATAATAAATTAGTATAATAATAACCACCAGCGCCTGATAGTTTTATCTTATTAATAATTTTAGATAAATTAGCTTTCTTAGTATATTCTTTATCCGCGCAGTGACTGTCTATATTAGTTTTTATTCTTTTAGATTTTATATAATTTTTTTTTATTATATAATTATTATTATTATTTTGCACCTATCTTACTAGTCTGTAGATGGTATTTGAAAGTCTTCAGAAATTTATCTTTTAGTAATTATATCAGATATATAAGATTATTATTAAGATTTTTTTATATTTTATTTTTTAAGATCTTCTTATCTGATATTCCAGCTGCGCGGAGAAAGAACAGCTTTTATATAAGATAATTAGCTAATAAAAAATTATCTGTTTTCTTAGATTAGAATTTTAGTTAATATATTTTTTAATAAATCTTAATTAGCTAATATTTAAATTCTTATTTTAATTTCTTATACTATACTTCTACTTCATAAGCTATCTGATTCTATAGAATCTCTGGGTAGTTTAATATACTACATAAGAACGCGTCTTTTTAAATAGAATAGAAGTATATTTAATATAAAATATTAGTTTTTCTAGATAATAATAATTTAAATATATTAGATAAAAAATTTGATATCAGTTATTTTAAGATTAAAAGTTATTATATTATCAAGTTTAAACTGATGAAGACGTTTCTCAGCGGAGTAATAATTATTAAAATAATAATTAGAATTAATATATAAATAATTAAAATCTTTTCTAATATTATATTTGTCTGGCTGGCTAGAATCTTGCCTGCTATAATCAGAATATAAAGATTTTATTTATATAAAATATATATCTGTTATGTAAAATGTATCTTAGATCTGTTTACTTCTTTATTAGTTATTTCCAGCATAGAAACTGCCTCTTAATTACTCTTCGCTGGTGTTCTGGAAGAAGCTTAAATCTGTTTGCCGTCTATAATGCGGTCCACCGTGCTCGAAGTCTTATGCTAATAGAGGTATTCCAGAGTACTGCACACGCGTCAATCTCTCTTGGTTTAACTGTTCCTGTAGTATTCGTTCTCAGTTCTGCTCTGCTGTTGATAAGCAGTGTAGTTTTGATCTGATTAGTCCAGGATTTATCTGAGATCTAGCACTTCTTGCTGTAGTCTTGCTATTTCAGCAGCCTATTCTTCGGTCTGCCGACGGCGGACACGCTGTCGTTCGCGCTCTTTCTCTTTAACATTCATATCATTGCTCTTATATACGTCTGAGATATCACATTCGTTTAACATTCAACAGGAAGGTCCGCGTCTGAAGTTTGCAACGATCTCTGGTAGTTCCTCCACTATACGTTTAAATCAAGAGAAATCAGTAGAACTAATATTAGTTGTAATATATATCCCCTGATACTGACTTTTACTCAAGGTGGATATAATCCCAGAGGCTTTACCAATATCTGCTGCATGCAGTTGGTTTGCTAGTTAGACTACCGGGTTGGATGCACTGCTCTTTTATCTATATTGCCACAGGCGATACAGTAGAATTACAGTCTATATATAAGCTTTCATAGTTTGGGCGCCATACGGGCAGAGAATATTATTATTTCAGATATCTGATTCAGCCAATTCATTTTCTCTGATATTATTCTTTAAATTATTGACATTGTAAATTTCTCTAGTATTTAAGAATCCAGATATGGCTCTGTGTAAAACCATTCTAAGATCTCTTCCTAGCATGGAATCTAACCCCACCAGTATAATATCCGCCATTACTCTCCTGGGCGTATGTAGTTACGTTATTATCACTGACTGACAAGTGGGACTATGTTCAGGAAGTTGACTATGCGATATCTGATGATATCTAACAATGTAGTATTCGATACGTATAAAGAAAGTTAGATTGGGAGTTCTGAGGAAGAATCAGTTACTGATATCAAATAGTTTTCTTTCCGGAAAGAACAGCCGGACGCGCAGCTCGCGTAAACAGCTAAAACAACAATAATAATAACAATAATAACAAACAACGCGTCTCGCGCTCTAGATTCATTTAATAGTATATTCCGCGGCCTGCGGTACGTTACTTGAGAAGAGCAAAGACGCTCTGAGAAACATTAGAACATGCTACCAAGTTGCTCCGTGCTGGAGCAAGCGGAGCTAAGTCTAAGCAAACACAGAAGAAGAAGATAAAGACAAAGCAGATAGTTGTTCATTCTTTATTACTACTAAGGATGCTTTCTAAATAAATAGAAGAAAAGGAGAGGGCACTACCTGATTGGGTAGGCACGTTGCACAGAGCAAGCTTCTTCACAATAGTTGTAGAGAGGATTATGGCGGGAATGCAGCATGATGCGGATTTAGAACTGTCTGTATAGCGGCATTGTGATTTTGCAGCCTGGTACGCGGTCTCAATATGAAGGGATACAAGGGGATGAGGCACCTGTGGCCCATATCAATAACTGCCAAGCCTGTCAGACAGACGACCCACAACCTTAACTAGATTTTACTGCTAATGACCATGGCTTGACCAATATGGTTCTCCCTTTACAGAAAGGAAGAACCAATATTTATTCAAGCTACATCCATCATCCCTATCATCAACAATATGACCCCAGACAAGCACTATTCCCTCAGCCCCTTCTCCCACTCCTGCGTAAACTCCCTCTCATCATCCTCATACACAGCAAACTTCGTCCCCTCCAATTCATCAATACACTCATGTGCCTCCTTGATCATCCCCTCCGCCTCTTCCCTTCTTCCCATCTTCCACTCTGCCTCCGCAATATTCCCCATCACCTCAATACCCTGCGGCGATGCCCTGCCCAGCTTCTTATCCAACCACTCCAAACAAGATCCAGTCAATCCCAAACCCTCTTGAACTTTGCTCGTAGTACCATAATGAATCAAAAAGCCTGAGAGGCTGAAAACAGGCACCAGATCATTCTTGTCCTCTCTATTAGTAACGAGCGTTCGATACGCGGCCTCCGCCTTGTCCGTTTGTCCTAAGGCTACGCTGACGCTGGCGACAGCAAGCCAGAAACGTCTGTAGAGGGTATGATCAGCGTTATGGAAGTTGTCTGGGAGAGTGTATCTGGCTTCCTCGTGTTTGATCTTTTCTTGGAGGGATGTCGAGGATAACGGCCATTTTCTCTGGTTGGCTTGCTGAGGAGCCGTAGCGCGCGTCGAGGTCGTATTCCTAGCTCAATGGGAGGGAGGGCCTTTAAGATACAGGCCGCTTGGCTGAAGGAGAACGTGTCCCAGAATGGGGTGTTGGGAATGCCAGCTTCCCAGGGGAAGGTAAATGGGTTGGAGGTGCCGGTCGAGTAGCGAAATTGCATTGTGGTGAGAGTTTGGTGAGCCAGAGGTGGAGGGTTAATGTGAGGGACATGATTTTTGTTTAAGATAGAAAAACCTCAAAGTTACCGTGATGGTATGATGACCTATATCCCGTTGCTCCTCAACTTGGCGGTCATTGCGGCAACAAGGGTGATGACCAGGATACTGAGCAGGCCAATGATTCACGCTAGATAAGCGCATGTGCCGTTGACCTATCGCCAGTAAATAGAAGAAGGCCACGTCGATAGACAGCCTGGAGGCATTACTAGCTAGCTAGCCATACATAGATGGGCGCCCACAGATAGTGCCTATGACCCTTGCATTTGTGAGAGGAGCTCCGGGTCTCCCAGTTCCTTCCCAGGCCCACTATCCCCTTTTCCAAAGGAACGGGTGTAAAGACCGGCCTGACATTCGAGAATGTTTTTCAAGGTGTAGCAGTGCTTTTGCATGGGCTGTCTGAGGGCCAAGGAATGACTGACTTCTAACCCCAGTGTTTCGTATGGTCGACAAAGTGTGCGTCATGGGTAGTCCTGCTTGCATCTTCAACTTTCGGTGGAAGTAAAGTGTGAGATGGGCTCGATCGTTGTCAACGACTCGGTGGTCTAGACTGCCACAAATCCACTCGAAACGAAGCCCGGCGAACGCTACAGACTACGCCTTTATGTCTATGAGAGGCTAGCCTGCATCCTTCTTTTAGCCAGAATCTGCTTAGCACTTATGGGAGCGTTCACTTCGTTAGGTTGGACCAAAGTCACGGTACTTCCAGAGGAGAGCGATGTTTTGAGGTCCCTATTTGAAGCCAAGCTTTGGAGTTGACGATCTGGGCTGAGGAGGCTATCTGGAGGATCTGGCTCTCAGAAGTACATCTCTTGGCCTTCCACTATTTGTAAGAGACTTGCATATGCCCCGCCTGTCACTGCCCAGGTAATGAAGCCTTTTGCTACTAGTGCGCAGCGTTCACGTCGGTAGTCCGTCGGGCAACCTTACAATGCGAAGTGCTACTCACTTCCCTCCCCATCTGGCGCGACTTAGAGGCTACAGGTGGGATCAAACAAAAGCGTATTGATAAGTTGGTTCAATTATTATGTGAAGGAAATTTTGTCATGAGAGGAGACGTCTTGGAAGACAAGTTATCTTTGTACATCTTGTTTCTTGTTTGAACAAGTGAGGTTCCGTTCCCAATTGCTATCAGATGGCCGGGCACACCGGGCAAAATAGGGTCCTGATAAGGGTTCTGATAAGCAGCCTAATTGTGTGCAAGAAAGACAGGGTATCAGTATCGAGGTTATTTGCTGTTGCTGCTGGAAGTTTGTGGTGGTGGTGGTAGAGTAGAACCACTTATCATTCGAACCTCTTTGTCCAACTACAAACACATTAAGATTCTTCCCAAGTAATCTGCCAAGTGATAAAAGTCATCCTGCTCCTCCTCTGGCTGCTGCTGTGGCTGCTGCTGGGTGGACAGCGACGGCGGCTGCGGCGAGGGGTGCGACGGCGGCGTGGATGTGGTGGTGGTGGTGGTGGTGGTGGTGGTAGTAGTACTCATAATAGTCAGTATATCAAAGTCAAGTTTCCAGGACAGAGAGAATACTAACATGAGGCCTGCGGCCTCTGCCGCCACGAGCATGAAGAGACGATATTCTGCCGGGGTTTGTCCCCAGAGCCCATAACAGCTGCAAGGATTTTTGTGGCGCTGAACTCTGGTGTCAGTGACAGGTACAACCTTTTAGTAGTGATAAATAGCTTCGATACATACTTTGTGCCACCCTCTTCTTCTTCCTCCTTCTCCTCCTCCTCCTCCTGCCCCGCGGGGCAAGGCCTCCAGCAAGCTGGAGGGGTCCAGAAATGGTTGGTGATCCAACTATAGAGTTGACGTTCCTTTTAGCTTGAAAGAAGTGGAAGTAGAAAAGCCTTTCTTTATTATCGCCTGTTAAGGGAGGAGGAGAAATTTGGGGACGCGTTTGTGTGTTGAGTAGAGAAACGAGATCGATCATGTGCCTCATTCGTATTTGGGCCTAGTACTATGTATTTTGACAATACCAGTGAATAGATAACACGAGGTTTCATGACAAGAGTAAACAAAGGGCAGGGAAGGACTCCCCTTGTATGTCTGGTATCTGTCTTGATCTTCGAGAAGATGTTGAGGAGGGGAGACCACGTAGGCAGCGGAGGTGGCGAAGGCTTTGGTGATGCCTAGCTACACTGAATGAGCGATATGCACTACTAGCAAGAAGCTTTATTATATGCACTTGGATCATGTCTCTGTAGAGATCTTTGAAGTCCCGCTTCACCGAACTCTCACTTCGCACTGACGCGCTGAAACCAAGCGAAAACCAGATTACGATCTGTCAATGAAATTTTGAGCGATGCGGGCCTATATTGCGCCAGCACATGCTTTGCTGCTGGCTCCGGTGATACTTTATATAGAGCTATTGTTCCTTCAACTACCGGGTGGTTACTAGGAGCGATGCATGTATTGTTCTGATAATTCTTAATACAGGTTATTTCGACCTCCAATCACCCAATTTTCATCAATCACGATTATAGCTTACTACAACCATGGCTCCTGCAAATTAGGCTGCAGAATACATTATCGACCCTTTTCTCTTTCCACCCAAGCCTCATAATGATCCTTAATCGCGCCCTCCACAGACCGATATTCCATCCCCAACTCCCTCACACTCCTCCCATTATCAACACTAAACCTCACGCCCAAGTTCCGAGAAATCCACCCCCTCGAGACCCCTACAAAAGGCCCAGCCAAGTAAACGATTACTCTGGGCAAATTGCGATTAGGCAAGACCCTCGGATCTCGGTGCACAGAACGGGCCATATTCGCCAATTCCAACAAGCTGAATGTCTCCCCACTCCCTGCGATAATATATCGTCCATTAGCGTTAGGCATATTCCCAGCCCTGACATGCGCCTCCGCCACATCCCGCACATCAACCACAGGATAATACAGTTCCGGAACACCCATGCGGTTATTCCCACGGAACATGTTTTCGATCATGAAGAGGCTGCCTGAGACGGACTCGGGCGTCATTGATGGTCCGAGAACTAACCCTGGGTTCAGGACAACGAGGTCCCAGCGATCCTGGGCGGCGTGAATCTTCCAGGCTTCGCGCTCTGCTATTACCTTGGAATAGTGGTATGGGTTGTTGGTGACGCTGCTGGTTTCGTTCCATAGAGATTCCATCAGAGTGCCTTTATTGACGGAATGGATCTCGATGCAATCGCCGTACATAGCGGCCACTAAGTATCTTATATTAACAACCAAAGAGAGGGAAAAGAGATGGAAAGGCTTACCTGATGATGTCAATATAACTCGCTGTACAGACTGACATTGATTTACGGATTCCAGCACGTTCCTGGTTCCTCTGAGAGCTGGTTCCACGCAGTCGCGTAGCCCATCCTTAATTTGCGAGGGGACTAAGAACGGCGATGCAATGTGGTATACAAAGTGACAACCCTCCATAGCCTGAAGAAAGGAACCATCTTTCGTCAGGTCTGCTTCGAATAGGGAGATTTGTCCCGGATATCGGAACTGTAGGTCGAGGATGGGCTTGCATTTTGTTGGGTTTCTGAGACTGCGCACGGTCGTGTGGACTTTGTGTCCCTGCTCGACGAGCAGCTTGATGACGTGAAGGGCTATGAAGCCTGTGCCTCCAGTGACTAATGCAGTTGGCATTTCTATTTGGGTTGATTGTATTGGTAGTATAGTGGCCAACCGGCTAAATCCTAAGTTGTCTCGGAGTCTGCTGAGATGAGAAGTCCAGGTTTCCTGTGATTCAGACCCCCTTTTATACCATGTTAAGAGGTATCAACGGCCGTACTTTTTGGAGATGATCAGAATTTACAACTCCATCCGACATTAGCTTTGGTGAACACTTGCCTTCACCTAATCTGGTCAGGTTCATGTTGGGCTATAGTTCCACCCGGCTAACCGTACGGCCGTAAGGGACTGCTTAGTAGCAGGGCGGCCCACCAACCAACTTGAGCCGGTACGGCCGTAAATGTCAACATCCTTTAACTGATAACTGACATGTTTTGAAATATAAACAAATTTGCGCCTTAATCTCCCCACTCGACCCTTTCAACGCTAATTCAGTTCCCCTTCACTTGCCAGAAAACTGTCAATGTCATTGGTGCCCATCTCGATATCAAGGATCCCATCGTTGATCTGGACTGGAAATACGGTATCCCAGAAACTCTGCCAGAGATATCATCAGATGGTGAGATTGTGAGGAATAGAACAGAAAATTACATACCCAGTCTATCTCTAGCGTTTCCGCAGTCGCACCCTTCGGAGCTCCGTGAACGTCTGAAGGCTGTACGTGCATGGTGTTATCGCCAACTGGGCCGTTTATCGATGAATTGGGGCCATAAACACTCCCATGCAAGGAATTCTGACTGCCCAGTAGCTCTTCAGAAAAGTTCGCGGAAGGAACAACCCAGGTGTGTGGAGGGTCTCGAAGGGCATCGGCCGACACACTAGTCTTCCCAAGATTATCGTTCGATCTACCTTCCGCTCCCTGACCAGACTTCAAACAACTTGATTCGTCATGGATACAAGGGGTTGACCCCGGGGTTTCGTGTGCACGATTCAGTATGGTTTTGAGATCCGAGCCGACGCTGACCTGATGGGGGGCAACCAGCTTCGATCGCTGAATCTGGGAAGACAATCTGAAACCCTTTTTGGACTGGTATGCACGCATTCTTTCGGTTATCAGGGTAAGGAGATACCGTGATTTGAGATCCCTTATCTGTATTATCTCCTCAAGGGTAGGCTTCTCTGATATTCGAGCAATGTGGAGCTGGGATAGCGGTTCTGCGAATATGAAATCCAGACAGCGCCAAATGCGACCGACCTCCTTTCGCATAGGGTAGAAGAAAACCTCACATAAAAGTAACAGGGCTGTGTGATACTGGTGGTAGGAGCGGCTATACCATGACCACGGGCGGAGATCCTGCGCAGATTCCAGCTCTACTGCCGCTTCCAGAGCATCAGTACCCTTGCTGAGCACAATTTGGCGCAATCGATCAGGTATTTGATACTCAACACTGTTCATATACCGGTGCAAGAGACAAACATAAAGCAAGCTTTCCAGAAGCTTCAGTACTAGCGCAGCCAAACGTTGGGTTGGCTGTTGCGGAGAAGTGCTACAAAGTAGCGGTCCGTACTTATTATCCATCCTGGTGCGAAACTGTTCCAGCTTTACAATTGCGCTCGTGAGACTCAATTTCTTTCGATCGACATTGGTTCGCAGAATCAGGCATTCTCGATGCATCTCTTGGCATTCGAACCGAATCATGGAGAATATCGTATCATTCCACACCGCAACCGAGCTTAGGTCGAAGGGAAGCTTGGTGGTGAACCCATCTGGTTGGATGAACGGCCGAGGGCCTTGAATTTCGCTCGTTCTCACATCAAGATAGCAGATTTGAAACCAGATCAGACGTCTGGTTTGGCATTCTGCTGGGGAAAAACCATACTCTGCAGGATCACGATGAAGACCCATGCATTCCGCCAACCTAATCGCCATTCCGACAAGCGCTGAGTGGGCGCGAGAAACTTCGTCTAAGCACATCGTGAGCTGAGTAAACATAACACATTTAGCCATCAGCATATTTGTATCAAAGGAAATTGACTACCCATGCTTACCAGATAAGCCACAAAGGCCTGCAACGTTTCCGCTCTTGTTGACTGTAACAGTTGCGCTCTTCCAAGCGAAACCTCCGTGCCTGACAGCAAACGGTATTTTAAGATTTCACGAGGCACATTGTCTTCTACCAGATCACCTGCTTCATTGATACAAAGGGTTGCAGAGAAGAGGATTGCGCAGACGATTGCGCTCAAAGATGGAGGCACTTCATGCCCGCTCTCGACAAGTTCCCAGAGCGTTTCGTACCGCTGTGCAAACGTGGGGCGATGCAGAATCCGCGCAACAGGATGCACTGCAACCCAATAGCGCTCTAACAGTTTGTCCGCAATATGACGAGCAGGGACAAATTTAGCCAGCGGCTCTTCCCAGGGCGTCGGTCCGAGAGCCAGATTCACCGACGGGACTATAAAGGATCTCCCAGGCATCATATAATCGCCTGATGACCCAACAAGAGTAGAGGATGTGATGATTGAGATAGAGGTGTGATGGTTCTCTCGCTTTTGGAGATACTGCAAAGAGTGCGACAACTAGCAGCATGGATATTTAAGTTCTGAAACTGGAGCTTTATGTCATTCTTATTACATACCTCATCTGCAATTCTTGGGCGATAAAGGCCTCCAACCCTCTCATTCAGCCGCATCCGACCAACTCGGATGCCGATATCGTGAGTGTCATCTTCGGCATCGGAAGCATAGGCGGCATCCTGGGTAGCCAACGGCGTTGGCTCTAGATAGTCGTCGGCGCCGCAGCCAGGATCTTCTTCTTCTGTGATCAAGTTTGTATCCCCGCTCGTAGTCAGGCTGCTGTCCAGTGCGTCTTTAGCATCTTTCATTTGTACCAGCTTTTGGCGAAATTGAGCGTCATGGGCTGCGGCGGCGATGTAGGCACATTGCAGGCCAGATGAGCGACAGCCAAGACAGGGTTGCTACGTAAACGGTTAGCTCTTAGCATTGTTGAGAGTGAGTGGTTATCCTACCGTTCGATCGCATTTCAGCTTCCGCCGGCGGCATTCAAGGCATGAGTGGATTACTCGATTGCGGCGCCGCGCCTGCTGGAGAGGTCTGGGCGCATTCATCTCAGGGGTATCTTCGGATCGTCCGGGAATCGGACCGTCTATCTTGGTAGTGTCAAGACCCAGACTGACAAGTAGTGGGTAGCTGCGGGGCCAACAATGTGAACTACTTACCGGAGCCTGACGGTTTGATGGGGGCATGAGCTTGATTGAGCTCTGGCCCGCCATCGACGGAGATGAGGGGCTCGCTCAGCCACCCCTGATATGAAGCTCTAGTAATGCCCAATTAGCGCGGTTTATGGACCTCCCACATAAGCATCAACTCATCAGTAGATGTCCACTAGTACTTTATACCAAATGGTGCACTGATTTGAGTCCTTACAATATTATTCCTTCCAATCAGCCTGTAAAAGCGAGACGAGTAGTTATCGTTACCGGGCCGATGCTTCGCTTAGGCGAGGGAGAGGGCATGGCGAAATGAGGATATTCACGTATTTATTCTGCAAGAGGCTTGAGAGATTAATTTGCGTTAGCATCTGGAAGCCTGGTTGACCATACATGAGCTTCTTACATTGGTCAAGTGCCAGCCATATCTGTCTATGCTTTCTGTGTGTAGACGGGTCACTTTCGACCCACAAACTCAACAGCTTTCGCCTTCTGAAACAGGCACCGGAAAATCCTGGCAGTTGTAAATATATGATTTAAGAAGACAAGACAGTGGAAAAAAATTCATCACACGAACGTGTTGTCCTTGGGTGGTCCTGAGCACGTTCGTTGCTGAGGAGAGATGAGTCGACGAGGGATCTACTGTGGGACAACCCGTCTAGTTCTGAATGGTGCAGCAAGATAAAAAACTGACTAATCCATTACTTTTCATGACTGCATTTATTCATCAAGTTATACTATCCGCTACTTGGTTCATCGCCCTATATAGCCTGATCACAGAATCCAAGTTCACTCTAATAAACCGCCAGGTGCTCCTCCATTGGCTCCTTGAGCATAAACGTAGATTCTCTGCAGAGTCCATTAGACAAGTAGAATGCTAGCAATAGCAACTATTAGGATGTGCTCAAATCGGGGATGTGTACTGGGACGTGTCCGTCTAACCATCATCAGTATCCACGCAGCTAGCGGCCTAAGGCTCGCCCAACGGTGATATTCAAGCCTCTGATGATTATGAACTTAATCCTCCACCTATTATATGTTTGCAGTACAATACATAGATATTCAAGTGCTGCTTCGGATAAAGTATGCAAATCACATTCGAACATGATATGTTCATGGTTAGATGTCTTGCCTAGACAGTTCTGCTGGAATCTCAATATATCATGATCATAAACACAGAACTTTGATATATTCGCAGTTACAAATAGCATTAATAATGTAAAACGCAATCCACTCCAGGCGCACCAACCACTAAAATACTCACACACAACCACACAAAGCAAACAACACACGTAAGTAGGCAACTACCAGAAGACAGGTCAGTACCCTTGCTCCGGCTACATATGCATACACTTCATGCACAAAACAAGTACTAAGTATGTATAGTTAAGGATGTATTTATATGCAAACCTGCCTGACCGCCACAGTACCGGTACATACATGAACTTCCTGCATTAGTCCAGTCCAGTCCACAAGAATTCAAATGTGAGCCGAAATCCCAACTTAAGACACTCGGAAAAGAAGAGAGACAAACCACTTGCTTCCCATGAAGATCAGTACGAGTAGGCACCTTGTTACAATACATGCTCTAGCTCCATTTTGTCCACGTGAGAGCTTCGAGAACAGAGCACAACAGTTGCGGCTGTTACAGCGGACGGTGAAATGGCTTGGATTGGATTGCTATCGGTATCGATGTGCTAGGTCTGAGACCGGCAGGACAATATCGAAATAATATGTGGCGCAGCTGGGGCTGGGGGTGATTGTGAAGAAGTTTGGAGATGTGCAAATAGCGAGGACTGAGGGTTGAAGTTTGCAAAATTGGAGTTGCAGTAATGATCAACCTGACGAATGAGTTAGTTACGCAGGAACATAGATACGTACGTATGCCGGGCTTTGGCCGAGGTCGACGCTCCGTTTATACACTCGTATGGGTGATGCATGTACTATAGTGGTGTTTGTCGGCGTCCATGGCTGTCTGATTGTAGTGTGTAGGAAATGTCTCAGGGAAGCTAGCATTCTTCAGCAATGGCCACTGCGGCCAAGGGTAAGCTGAGAAAAACACACACTCAGCCAGTTTGGGCCCACACTTAGGCATTCTTCAGCGGCAATGGCTGTCTCGGGAATATAATTCATTGGCGCCTACAGGGTGGAAAATTTCTTATCGGGCTATTGTGGTAGAGTGAAAGCACACTTGCTTCTTTCATTCAGATCAATGCAGCGGGCGCTAAACTCCGACTGCCGCGCACAGGCAAACATCTTTGCGCCCTGAACTTGTGGATACCATGCCACTAATTATATCAAAATACCAGATGAATCAACTATTCGCAATTATTGCTTCGGTGCAATGAGACAAGAGAGAATTGGAAACGCTAGTTCTTCGGTGTGCCGGTCTTGAGTTCCATCTATTATTCCATGCGGGCAATGGGACATCCGTGTATATATATCAGACCACTCAAAGCATCATTAGCTGCAGGTTGTCTCCAGACTGCATTTGGTGTATCGGACAAATAGTAGCCGCAGACGTCCCTGAGCTTACCCATTCACCCGAAGTCATTAAGCTCTGGCCCTGGCATTGGCATTGCGAATCATGCATGCCCAGTGGACTCGAGGACGCGGGCAATTCGACCGCGCTGCCGCCAGGCGGCGATGACTGGGATGTAGGCAGGGGTGCTGGCAGCCCTGGGGGATGATTGTTTTGTTGAAGTACAATAATTGCCTTGGGACGTGACGAGCCGGAATTTATGGCTTGCATGATATGGGGAAGATATGCTTCTGGGGAGCAATTAGTATTGGACGATTTAAACCATTCTTCAGCGACCATTTCGGCTTACCTGTTGCTATGTAATAAAAGGAAGACCCTGGGTACTGGGTTGTACCATTCCACTGTTCTGCGAGAGGAATATTGGAGTCCATAGAGGGGTAGATGTTGCTCATGTTCTGCATTTCGGGATTGATAGAATTCGATCGAGGATAGAAGGCACTATTTCTCAAAGCCGATGAGGGGGAGGTAGTATCGAGGTCATTCGTGGCATCGTATATGGAAGGAAAGGATGGCTGAGAGGATAGGACTGGTATTGAGCCCAAAGCGCTACTGCAGGATGAACAGATGACTCTTGATTGTGGGAAGTACGTGGAACCCAAAGCCGGCGAGACATCCTGGATGGGAGGTGAAGGATGTCCTTCAGTATCGAAAATTGGCGGCATCCGATCGACAGGCGACGGTGTGAGTGTGCTGGGATGGTCCCAGCCGTTCAAGCTGGCTGCTGCTCGCAGCTCACTTGCAATAACGCGTTCTTGGAGCTTGGCAATGCGATCTCGGATCTTGCGCCCTGCTAACTTTAGATGACTTGCTCACGAGTATCACATTTGCAAACTACTCACGATGATTCCGTTGTGAAAGCCGATTTTGTAATCTTCTCCTCTCGATAGGGTCCTGCTTCTGTGCAGTGGTATCATTGAGATTCCTGTCTTCTTTTGTTGACGGTGGCCGCATCTTCGTGGACATTATGGAATCTGTGAGCCGTGTTGGTTGTGCGTCGGAAATTGTCAATAAGGCCTCGATTCCAATGCTATAATTATTTCACGTTGACAATGGAATATAATCTTAAGGATATAGGCTTCGCACTTCCACTCCTCCAAATAATGTCTCTGGTAGAGAAGCTCGGAAATAGTTTGTCTCTGGAAGTGTCATTAAGCATGTGCCGCGCTCTTGGTAATATGGGATATTGCTACCTTCGCTTATAGAGAATCTTACACGCATTCAACTCAGCGCGTAGGCTCATTAGGTCTGGTGCTCGGAGCTTGTAGACCATACGCTCGTCGATTCTGATTGGTTATGTCATCAGGATTTACGAGGTTTCGCAATGAGTGCAACATAATCCCGGGCAAGGCCAAGGAATGAGGAGGCGCCGAAGGAAGTATTTGAATCCCCACCGCAGCAGGTTACTCGGCCACTTCACTATGTCCGTCGGCTCATGCTTCTCAAGCGTCTGGGTTGGACTGGCCTACTTTCCATCCGGCTCGCTGGTACTTGGCCCGTGGTTTTTTGACCCACATTCCGCCTCCAAGTCTGCAGCCTTGATCCATGTCCCACATCCTTCTTTTGCGTAGACGTGCCCAGGAAGCATTGAACCATGGCTCTAAGGCGCGAGCAAGGCTTTTTGTGGCGCCGCTGATCATCGGGGTTAGGTCAAACAATGATCAATAAAAGGCTCTTATCGGACAATAGAGATCGGTCCAGATCAGCCTACTAAGACCCCTCATCTCATTCGTCGCACGTACACCTCATGGCGCAACCCCCACTCATCTGGACATTGGGCCAAGGCAGTGATTTGAGACAGTTTGACGGCCTTGCCAGCCGCGATGCACGGATACGCACGGTCGACCAGACCAGCTAAAGCGCCTGACAATATACTGTAAGCGAGATATGCGGCAGAGGGGACGGTAGAGTATGTGATTTTGATGATCTAAGCCAGAATACCCATGGCTAGTATCCTGGGGAATCCTTGCAGAGCTTCTCTCAATGGGGTGTCTGAGTCCTCCATAGCACGAGACATTGGGACGCGAGTTATTGGAGCGAATATTACTCTTGAAACATTACGTATCGCAGGTCATACCTTGATCGGGTGGCATGCCATCGGCCGGCTTCATAATGAGGAGGTATGGCCTATATAATATGGAAGGTAGGGGAAGCTTTCGAATACTGTATGTTATCGACTTCGTTTTCGGGTGCCTGTAAGAAATCAGTAGTGTAAACAACCGAGAGACAATTCTCAGATCACAAGTTAGGCGGAACAATCCGGTACTCCGTCGATATAAAGCGCTATAGAGTGCGGAGTATTCTTACCGAGGTTTGGGCAATCATACCTGCCTGGTTCAGTTACCAACCCGGGATAATGACCAGTATACGCCATCAGGGATTTGGCCAACCAGAGAAGTTCCCGATAAAATCCATAATGTCAGATTATCATAGCGTTAATAGAGGCGTGCCTTGGTAGCTGCAGTTTCCACAAAGGGCAAGTCCACTGGGGACAGGCGTTCAGTGAATGGGAAAGCTCTGAAACTTGGAGCGCGGCGAGAGGACTGAGCTGCCGTCAGCTTTGGAATGTCGCTGGGATTCCATAGCAGAGTGACCAATCAGCCTATTCATGTGTAGGCGAGCTTGTAGAAGACCAATCATAGTTCCAAAAGGAATTTTTTGTCGATGGCGTGGAACTGGGTCGGTTAACGTGGAATAAAAGGTCAGGGCAGTTCGTATTCAGACCGAAAACTGGACTCCAGTGGGCTGAGCATCTCTGCCAGATGAT